ATCTTCTTCAAGGGGTAATAGGGCCATCTCACCCGTGAAAGGCTTTGAGAGTGTGGACTTCGTCTCGGAGGATCAAAAGCAGCGCTTAATGGAACAAACCAAACGGGAGGTAAAACAATCCTGTTCCATTTGCTATTGACATTCATGCTTGATACTGTTATGCGTGAACTGTTCACAAATGCTGGAATGCTTAGGGTATTTGAAATGCAATATGCTGGAATCCCGGTCGGGTCGGATTTGACCCGGGAGTTGCACCCGGTCGGGTGGGCTCTTTACCCGGTCGGGCACCTGACCAAAGGTGTTGTAAAACACCTATAAATAGCTCCATTTTCCTTCACTTTTATTCATCCCTTCTTCCATACTCTTAAGCTCAGTTTAGAATAGCATTTCTTTATATTTTTCTAGCTGTGTTTAGTCTCCAAATGAGAAGCTAAACTTCCAATTCTTGGTGTTGCTCTTGAAGCTTGTTGATTATTAAAGTTGTGAGTTATTTTCTTAACTTTTTCCCTTGAATATTAATTAATAGTTCTTTCCTTAATACCATCTCTATATTAATATTGGGGAGTGTTGCTAAGATGACAATTAGTTAACATCTCAACATTAGTTAGAATGGTATTTTCTTCCTCTATATTAATGTTGGAGAGTGTTGCTAAGATGACAATTAGTTAACATCTTGATATTAATTATAGTAGGATTCATCTTCTTTAATAATATTCTTCCTTGAATATTAATTAATTCCTATTCATATTTCATATTAATATTTTGAACATTACTTAAAGGATCAACTAGTTTTGTTTCACATATTAATTATTACTAGAAACGATCAACGAACCGATGGTTAATCGTTGATGATTTCACAAGTAAGTAACTTCAGTTTATTAATGCACGATCGTGGTTAATAAACATAAGAGGGATTAATTTTGTTGGTTAAACCAAAATCGTTGTGTTGAGGTTATCAATCTCAATTGATTTCATCAAGGAGTTAGAAAGATTAAATGCTACTATTAAATCGGTATAAGACGTTATTCTATATTTGATTAATAGTAAGGGTTATTAATGAACGGTTGTTGTTAATAACTACCCTCGATGAAGTGGATATACTCCCCGATTGAGTATTCGAGAGGGAATAAGTTATAGATATAACAATGATCGACTAAAATATATCAACAAGTGAAAAGTAGCAATACCAAGTCCTTTTTATCATTGAATTAAATCTCATATAGGTCGTTCATCTTAGTTTTTAATTAAATTAAATCACTCAATCCAAATCCGCCCTTTATTTACTAAGTTTCATAAAAAGAGAATTAATTTTATGAACTCTACTTCACCTATACTACATATAAGTATTTAGTATTGAATTTATTTTGACGCACCGTGACAAAGTGCTCGTCATTTGAATAATGATTTTAATTATTATATGATGCAAATTCATAAATGTAAGAAATTTATGAATTTTTTTTATCAAATAACATTTTCATAAATTTTTTATATTCAGTCATTTTGTATTGAAAAATATCACTAACCAAACCTGACCATCATTAGTCAAGAAAAGTGAGTTTGACCAATCTTTTCTGGATGGAGCGAATATAATATTTTCATTTACTTCATCAAGCACTTTCGTAGTATGTACCGAGTACTAAAATGGAAAAATACTCTAATATTACTAAAACTCACCACTTTTCTAAAAATATGACTATAGATGTTTTTTGATGTGGTGTATGACCAAATTATGTGGCACAAAAATAGGAGCAATCAATAAAGGTGAAATGCTCATTATATGTATGGCAACATGCATCATTATAGGAAAAAACATAATTAGTCATACTCTAGGAAAACACATGCACGAGTTTTAGTAATATTTATAGTAATTTTTCTACTAAAATTTGTCTTTCCTTCTTTCTTACGTCTGTTTCCACATTCTCTTCTCCATTTTCTTACTTTTCTACTCCCCTTGTCCCTTAAAACTTTGTCAACTTTCCTTTTTTGGATGTCTCACTAATTTTGCCAATTTCCATTTTAAATAAAGAATTTGTGGTTCCAGTTAATTCTCTGTCATCTAAATAAACTCAACCACACAGTTTTTACTTTATTAATCCCCATGCCTGTCAAACTTGGCAAAGTTTTAAGGGACGGAGGGAGTAATTGTTTTCCGGAGTTTCGTTTTACAAGACCAACTTGATATGATGAGTAATCCGAAATCTTATATGACTTCCTATATATAATATAATTGTCTATTGCTCCGTACTTTATACTATTAACTATTATTCTTCAACAAGCTTGTGCTCTTCAAAGTATATTACTAGTATTAGGAATTATTACAAGGAATAAGCTACCACTACAAAAAAACCACGAGATTGGCAGGAATTTTGGCAGGGAAATGTCAAATCCGTGCCAAAAACACTTTGGCACGAGCTATTTGGCACGAAAAATCGGTAAGTCAATGCCAAATTTCGTGCCAAAGTCCGTATACGGGTATAAGTTTTAAGGGATATGATAATTCCCTAAATAGGACTAAATCAATATTGAAATCCACAAATAGGACTCTCATATTTTATAGGACCAACAATCAACTGATCAAACAAATTTAACCTAATGAAACTACATGTTAAAAATAAAAATAAAAACCCTCTCCCCCAGCTGCCTCGTTCGACGATGCACATATCGTGAACTGCAACCCGCCTACACTTTCAACACCTTCCGTGCACAGCCGCCCCTGCCGAGATTGCCATCGCAGCTAAGTGAGATCGCCGTCGCAGCTAAGTCAGACCGCCGCCACTGTCGTCGTCGAGATTGACGCTGCACACCATCAGTGAGACGACCTACCCCTTCCTACAATGAGAATGGAGCCATAGCTAAATTCTTCTATGGAGATGTTGGCATCTCTTAGTCACTGCTACCTCCTGTGGAATGTATGGTATCAATTTCAGGCAAAAATACAATTATGAAAACAATAATGACAAAAAATGGCATTTCTACGTGCAAAAACATGGAATTCTCATATTGCAAATTATGACATTTTCACATTTTAGAGTCAAAAATGTGAAATAGGAGAAGAAAAATGAAGAACAAATGTTGTCGACGAATTCAATTCAATGCCATAAAAATGCCACAATTTGTGAAAATGTCTAAAATCTGGCATTTTCAAAGATGCAATATTTCTATCTCCATAAAAAAATGCCATACATTTGACGTTTCTTACGAGCTAGTAAAGATACACAATAATATAGTAAAGATACACAATAATAAAATTTAGATCAGAATTTTTTTTGAACAAGGGCCTCGAAATTTCATACCCAAATGTTTTGAATTCAAACGTTTCAAACTATGTTGTAAAAATCGGACCGGGAAGCGACCCGGCCAAACGACTGGGTCATGGGTCAGCCTGGACCCGGGTGGGTCAACCTTGTCAACCCCGGAAAACCCGGTCAACATAGAATTAGAATTATTATTTTAAAATATACAAATTTTAAATTAGATGGATATTGAACATGAATATGATGCTTATTTAAAAAATGAAATATTATATAAATACTTTCACTTATAATATTAGTAACAACATTTACCGTTTATTAATGTTGTTATATTTTTATTGTGATTATATTTAAAAAGTAAATCCAGCAGTAAATCCCACCTCTCACATCGGGGTTCGAATCCCTCCAGACGCTTATTTTTGAGTTTAATCCGGGTGTTAAATAATTCCCGGGTTCGGGATGTCGCGGGTTCCGGTTCGACCCGTCCGGTCTGGTCCGGTTCTTAAAACATAGGTTTCAAACCAAAAATAAAATTTCCATTGAGAATCGAAAAAATATTCCAATAAATTTACAGCAAATAACCATAAATGCAAGATGAGTAAAGAATAGAGGATCGAGGAGGAGGGGATTACCTGCAGAGACGCTGGCCTGAGTGGTGCGCGGAAGAGATTAATCTTCTTACTCCATGGAAGAGGAATTTGCCTATGCGGAAAAAAAGATGTCGATCGAGGAGTAAGATGCGCTGATGCGGAAGACGGATAAATGTGGTTTTATTTTATCAGGGGTATATCGAGAATAAGAGGTCCTATTTATGAAAAATAAAAGATTAACTCTCATTTAGGAATTTTGATTATAATTTGGTCCTATTTAGGGGTAAAAACTCAAGTTTTAACTCTTACCATATTGGAGAACTAACTCAGGTCAATGTTGGTGTCTTTTTCTTGATCTAATTACATTAGAATTATATATTTCTACCAAAGTATATTATTAGGTATTCTTACAAGGAATAAGCTACGGGTATAAGTTCTAACTCTCGACATATTGGAGAACTAACTCATGTCAATGTTGGTGACGTACTGTTAATACCTGGAGGTTTCATTATATACCTAAAAAGTCTTATATAATGTTTTACTCCCCGTCCCGAAAAGGTTGACCAAAGTTGACTTTCACGTGGATTAATAAAGTAAAAACTATGTGGTTGAAGTTTGTGCAGAGGAGAGAGAATTAATTTTAGCCACATATTCCTTACTTTAAATGGAAATGACAAATCTTTTTGGAACATTCAAAAAAGGAAATTTGGCCAACCATTTCGGGACGGAGGGAGTATTATTTTATAGCTTCCAGTGTGGAACAAATACTTTAATATGCCCCTCTGGGCAATATCGGGATGCATAAGAATGCCAAACAAACTCTTAACAAGTTACCCTTAATAAAGTGTGTTAAACAAGCAGTCAAACCACGTACAACCGGACTTAGTTCTGATACCATATTAAAATTCGAGATTCCATCCTAAAAACTCAACCTGATAGGAAGAGTAGTCCAACATCTCATATAGTGTTTTATTGTTTTATAATTTTTCGATGTGGGATAAATACTTTAACGGTTTCAATTCTCTACTTTAATATACGTAGTACTCCTAATTAAATGTGTACGTAGTATTAAATATGTTGCGTTCTTATTGTTTTTAAATATGAAGCACCAATAATGAGTGACATGTGATGTTTCATCACGTCCAAACTGACTATGCATGTTTTTCAAAAGCATGAACCTTTTTTCAACTTTTTTTTGGATTAAATGTAAATATATATTAACACCCAAGAAAAAATATACATTAAAAGTTTAGATCTCCTAAAACTTCCCTCACCCCTACATAGTGTAGGGGTTAGGAGAGGTTTTTATTCTATCTAATCCAAATCAAAAGGGCCTAAGTATACAATACTAAATGCCCCAAAAACACAAAAAACTCAAAAACCAAAACGGTGCTGCAAGAGTGCACACACACAGATCTACACAGCTAATAATAGCCGCAACAACTCAAAAACTCCAAAGCGTCTTCTTCAAAAGATGATCAACTCATGCGGGTAGATACTATAGAGTATCTTGTAAGTCACGTGTTTGATCTTTACAATGATCTCCTCTTCCGTCTTCTTTCCATTATCAAATCTAATTTCATTCCTTGCATGCCAAACGTAATAAACTGTCGCACAAAAGGCAACGCGGGCTGCCTTTGCCTTCATCGTCGATCCTCTATGAGTCTTTGTGATCCACTTAATGGCACTTAGCAAAGTAGTCATTCCATGTCTGAATCCCATCCAGTTCCTTATCTGCTGCCACACCCTACAAGTAAAGGGACAAAGGAAAAAAAGGTGTGGTATTGTCTCCAAACCACCCTTGCACAAGTCACACCTATTCACAATGTGGAGATAATCGAGGCTATCCTGGGTAGGAAGCCAGTTTCTCAAGGCCAACCACACGTTAAACCGACCCTGGTCCAGCCCGAATTATGATATCGGTCCGGATTTTTTCTTTTTGACCGGCCTGAATAAAAAAATGGACCGAACCTGAAACTTCGGGCTCTTTAACGGGCCCTAAAATCTATAACCCGACCCGGACCAATAAAACCCGAAACAATTAGCCATAATATAAAATCAATATAATATACCAATATAATTTATAAATTAATTCCTAATTTATGATTATAATCATGATGGACGAAAAAATGACTTAATAACTTTTAGTGACTACAAATATGTTCAATTTATTTACCGTAATGACCATGAAAACATATTTATAGTAACTTTAGTTACATTTTTATCCATAAATTTTATTTCATAACATTTTTAGAACACCTATATTACTTATTTTTATGCATCTTAAACAAAATATTATGATAATTGTCTTCTTTGGATTTGAATTCTTGGTGATTTTGGAGACTAATATTTGTGATTTTTATTAATTTTATTTGTGGTTAGTACTTTTTATTAATTTTATTTGAAAATAGATTTTAAAATATAAAAGAAAAATGAGTGATTTCACATTCGGGCTTTAACCGACCCAACCCGAACCCGGACCGAACCCGGGCTACAAAAAACCCGACTCGGACCGAATATAGTGGGTTTTTTTCGGTCCCTAATTTTCATAACCCGATGCCTTACGGGTAATTTCCGGGTTTAGCAAAAACCTGACCCGGACCGGACCGATCCCACCCCCAGTCCGATGCACTTGGGCAAGAGATCCCATAATCCGATCCAAGTTAGAGGGTGTCTGGACCTGATTCTAAAAAATATGGGTGGGCATAAAACCTGAACCGAACCGGTACCGAACCGTCCAATAATGGTACCGAACCAAATATCGGGTATTTAAACGGTTCTATCGATTTTTATCGCGTACCGAAACCGTAGTGTTTGAAATGGGTACGAGACCGATCCTAGATTTTGAGAACCGAAAAATACCGGACCGAACCGTTCGTAAATATTGCATTTGATTTTTATTTTTTATTTTTCTATATCAATAGATCTAGACCAACAATTTTATACCCTAAGTATGTATTCATGTGTCCCTAAGATATCTAAAATGTGTTATATATCTATATTGTTAGTTTTTCTTTTTAGATAACTAATGTTATATTTTGGTATGTATTGAAAGAATATTAAAATTTTAGAAATCATTAATGAATATTTATTTCTAGTAATGTAGTGTACATGACTTTTTGTTGTATCATGTTTGTGCATTTTTTACAACTTAATTAATATGGTTTAAATCTTAGCTGTCAAGGTTCAACTATAAATTAAATCAGAACTACGGAGTAATATTTAACCTAGAACGAAGAAGAAGATTGTTGAACATTTCTATTATATTCAACAATTTGATGATATTCATTTTTATATTTTCACATGAATTTAGTAAATTAAAAATGATATTTATCTCGTGCGTCATCGCTTTGCTATACTTTTTCTTAGTTGTGTTGCACTATTTGGGTATTTGTGAATTTTAGTACTACGTATGCAATTTCTTGTATTTATTTCAACATTTCATGTGAGTTGGTTGGTGTGATGATATCTACTAATTGCAAGATTTGTTCAAAAAAATTAGCATGTGTTTGGCATTGTACCGTACCGTTATGTATCATTCCGAAACGACATGGTACCGAACGATTCAATCCTTGGAACCGGACCGTAAAAAAACTTCACGGATACATTACGGGTTTTACCAATTTACTGGACCGTTCCGGACCTCGCCGGACCACGCCCACCCCTACTAAAAAATGTTTTTGATTCTACTTTAAAAAAAAAGTCGTACAATCAACGATGCATAACATTATTGAAAGGGGTTTTGGCTCAAATATTACAAAAAATGTGTTATGGATAAAAAAGAGACCTTTTTTCTAGACTTCCAAAAATGTGACTAATAAAAACATACTTTACTAAATAACCCTTACTTTTGGACCGTATCAATGCACTCCGTAATAGCTCAAGTGTGTAACAAATTAACAATGCACTTGATCGCAAATAGTCAAATGCGCTTCGTAGTCTTTATTCTGTAATGTGTAATAATGCACTTTATCTCAATTGATGTTTTTTTTATTTTAAATTTATTTCAACGCAATTTGTATTCTAGCTGTAACAATGCATTCTAAATTTCTAATACCAATCAATGTTTTCTTCTATTTTAATATTATTTATGATGATAGATATTCGAATATGAAAATTATGTAACAACGGTCCCGGTTACTAGTGCTTCGGTGACGAGTATCGTAGTTACTATAGCTTCAATAAGGACCGTCCCGGCCAGTTACTACTATTGCTCAAGTGATCAGCGTACTAGTTATTATAATGCTCTCATGACATCGTCCCAGTTACTATCGCTCTAGTGACAACTATTCCAGTTACTATTGCTCCAGTGACCACCGTCTCAATTACTACTACCACTGAATTGCCCACTCCTGAGTTACTATAATCGCTCTAGTGACACCGTCCGGTCACTAACGCTTCAGTGACCACCGCCATAGTTACTAGTGTTCCAATGATATTGTCTCAGTTACTACCGGTACAGTGACCATAGTGACACATTGGTTTTGGTGAAAGTGACAAAGTGACTTGAATCATAGTGATTTACCCCCAATGATACAATGACATGGACACCGAACACAATGACATTTAGACTCACAGCCCCAATGACCTGCCACCGCCGTTGCACCGACAATCGTTCACCTTTGCCGCCTTGCTCTATAGTTGCCGCCGCGATAGTCACACTCCCCAGCCCCTTATCCATCGCCCTCCCGCCTCCCTAGCCTGCGGCTGCCTCTTCAGCCCCATCCACCTCCCCAACAATCCAACTCAGGTTACCGCCGCGCCCCCCGACGGTGACTGCCTCCTCCCCACATTGGCCCTCCCCAGCACCCAAGCACCCAGCCCACTTTTCAGCCTCCCCAACCCCAACCCCTATCCAGCGGCCCAACCCCCTTCCCATCCATAGCCACATCCCCCCTCTCCAACCTCTGCAACTGTCGCATCGCCGGTGCCAGCCAACCTCCATCACACGGTGAAAATCGAAATCTTCATCCAAGAAGCCCGAGTCGAGCGGTGCCGTGATTCCAAACCCTAGCCGTCGCCAATTGCGATTAACAACGACTGCAACCTCTGAAGATGAATCGTCGTGTCAGCTCCGAGAGATGTTCCCGGTGGAGCATAGATCGCTATTGAAGCCATCTCTGTTGGAGCTAAGCCGCCATTTGTTTTCTTCTGAGAATGGAAGCCAACGGGTCTCGACTGTGGCGCAGCGGTGAGAGAAGATCGAGAAGGACATTATTTGATTTTGGGTGTAATCGCAAATTAACTTATACATGAGGTTATTTTTGACCATCTCTCCAACATTTAGTCATTTATTTATCAATTGAAAGAGGATCATATTCTTGTCAATTGAAAGTCCATTACTAATAGTCTAGTCATTTTTTCTTATTGAAAATGTCCAAGACTCATTATTGAGGACTGGTTGAAAAAATAAGACCAATGAAAAATAATAATTGTGAAGAAAGTGAGAGTGAGAGAACCACATACCAAACAAGAAATGATGGCGGAATTCCCCCACCCTACGCAAATGAACACATACGACCTTCAAATCGGCGGCGTGGAGGTGAAGACTCGAGTGGTCCACGACGCAATGCTTGTGGAAGCAGCCCTGGCAGAGCTGGAGGTCGGCGGCAACGGCATACCAGTACATCCCATTGTTGGGGTGGACGTGAAGGTATCCTCGAATCTGTTCGGAAGGCGTAGAAGATGCGATCTGTTGATCCTATGCACCAGATCCAACTGCGTGATCCTGCAATTGGATCTCATGAGACGCCGAAATTCTGCGTTTCGAGCCGTCACTGATTTCCTGAGTTTCAAGGAGGTTTTTTTTGTGTGTCCCGATGGGTTTGGAAAGAGGACTCGTGGTCTGCCGTTGTGTGAATACGCTAAACACACCATTACGACGTACGGGCGTTTCGGGAAAAAAATCCGAACCCCCGCTTGCTTTGTTTGCTCGCAGATCAGGGTCACTGAGATCAGTAGATACGCCGCTATTTTTCTGCAAAACGGGAAGCCTAAGTGTGAATCGTGGGAGAAACTGGTGGAGGAAGTAGGGGTGGACCTCACTACTGCCTCTTCAGCAAAACGGCGACCAAAGTGGGATTCTAAGCTTTTCTCAGAGGAGGAAATTCTCTCTGTTATCTATGATGTTGTCGGCTCCTACCGGATTGCCCACAAGATCCGCCATGGATATTAATCTCAATCTTATTGGTCTTTGTTCATCCACCAGTTTCAATTTCAAGTACTCCGTAATGTTTAGTTGCCTTTCATTAATCGGCTGAACTGCAATAACGCACGTAGTACGTATTTTATTGTTAATGTTATCAACTTACCATTATGAACCCGACTTTAGGTACATATTTGTGTACACACTCTTATATACTCATGTTTTTGTAGGCGTTTTTTTTGTCTGTATCAGACAAAATGTCTTAAATGAGTTGCCCCGTTTATGCTCACACAATTAGGGGTGGGGTAAAAATGGAGTACCTTTAGTATCATTCTAAATTTTTAAGAAGGATATTTATATGGGGTAGAAATTGGGGTAACTATGGCTACCTATAGCATATTTGTTTAACTTATTATAATAGGTGCTTGCTATGGTACCCAATAAAAATAGGAGGGTACCATACCTAGGATGCATTTCATTGGTCCAATTCAAAGCTTTACATTTTATTTACATTTAAATTATTCAATTGAAAATTTTTGATTGGTCTATACTGATGGAGTATATGGGTCTGAGCCCCAGGACCCACATACTCAGAAGAACAGCAAGCACAAGACACTGAGTGGTGCCCTCGTCGGCCAAGGGACCCCCATCGGCCGAAAAGGTACCAACTCAGAATATGGTCCTGAAGCCAAGGAACCCGGGTGCCCTCGTCGGCCACGCCCTGGTCGGCCGTGCCCTCGTCGGCCACGCCCTCGTCTGCCACGAAGACCTCACAGAACCGGAATTTACACTTACTCATTTGTACAGCCCATTAGTGACTTTGTATTCGGCCCAGTAGCGGTCCAGTTGTAAATGGGCCTCCCAAGCCCAAGGCTTGGGAGCCCAGCCCGTATTTTCTCTATAAATACTCCCCCTGGGAGTAGTTATAGGGGTGACAAAATCACTTTATTGAAACATATTATTGCACTTCTCTCTCTAGCTCTCACTTCTCTCTAGATATACTCTATCATTTGGTGCTTTCATTGAAAGCTAGAACAATCAAGTTAGCACCCTTCGTCGCTACCAAGCACAGCTAACCACTGATCATGGGAAGAACTAAATCAAACCGCAACCTCGTCAGCAAGGCCATCCCTGAGGACCAAGAGGCCAGGGAGCACGAGGAGGATGCCACGGCCGACCAGGTCGGCGGAGGGGACGTCTTCAAGGAGGCCTTCAACCTCACGACGGACCTCCGCAACCAACTCAACGGCGGAGCCCCTGATGCCCGCATCGTCTTGGACAAGAAACGAGCCGAGAAGACGGACCACGCCCCGGCCCAGCCTATGGCCGCGACCTCTCCGTCCGTGGATCCACAGGTCCAGGCAGTGCTGTCGGTCATCATCGCCAGCTTGGCCCAGAACCCCACCGTCCTCAGCGCGCTCCTGCCAAGGACCGGGGGGGACGTCACTCCACCTCCTCAGCCCCGACCGTTGGCCGTCCAGATAGGCAACGATGAGGGGGTGATGGCCCAGGACACGGCGTCGTCCCACTCCCACCCCGCTTCCCCTCTTCGGCCTGGGCAGACCCCAGTGCGTGGAAAAGCCTCTGCCTTCAATAGGTTAGGTGACACGCGCCGTCGTCCGGTCTCGGAGAGGATGGCAGGGTGGATTGGTGAGCGTCGGCCTGGCTTGCCAAGGGAAAGTCTGGGGTCTGTGTCCCGGACAGCGGACCAGCCCCGCCCGGACAAGGGCAAGGGGAAGCTCCACGAGGACGACGTGCGATCACGACGAGCGCATGAGGAACCAGCCGGGCGCCACTGCGGCCGCCAGGGACCCCCGGGACGAGGTCATCGCCCAGCTGAAAAGGAGGCTGGCTCAGATGGAGGCCAGGCAATCGGCCAACAACCCCACGGCTGGCGCCTCCAACGACCCCGGCCTCAACGCTCTCATGAACAAGGTCAGCGCCCTGGAGAGGGAGTTGGCCGAAGGGCGAGGTGACCCCATCATCCAGGTCAGGACCAGGACCCCTTTCACCAACAGGGTGCTCTCGGCCCCCATCCCGGAAAAGTACAGGGGGAACGCCATCAAGTCTTACGATGGCTGATCGGACCCCCAGGAGCACTTCAGCCGTTATCAGAACAACATGCTGATGGTGAACGCGTCAGACGAATACCTCTGCCGTTGGTTCCTCTCTACTCTTGAGGGGCCAGCGTACGACTCGTTCAACGCGCTCCCCGAAGGGAGCATTGACTCATGGCAAGACCTTGCCCAACGCTTCCTCACCCACTTTGCCGGGAGGAAGCGCGCGAAGAAGTACTTCACCCACCTCCTCTCCGTCAAGCAGCAACATGATGAGTCCCTCCGGTCGTTCATTGATCGGTGGACGAGGGAGACCGAAGAGGTCGAGGGGGCTGATGAGCGCACCCTCCTCGCCCTGTACCAAGGAGCCCTCCGCAGCACCCCGTACGCAAGGAGCCTCATCACCGACCCTCCAAGGTCGTACGCCAAAGCGCTCCAGCGTGGAAGTTTGTACGCCGACGCCGACGAGCTCCACAACCACAAGAAAGAAGGGGGCCGTCCCTCCAAGAAGACAAATCCTTCGCCGGCCCAGGGTCCGTCCCCGGCCGGCCAGGGTGCCCAGGGCCGCCACGGCCCTGGTGGACAAAGTAAGAAAGATCGCCACTGGCGGCCGAGGTTGGAACGGCCGGGGGTTGCCCTCACTCACCCGGTCGGCACCATCCTCGACTATGCCGAGAAGCACGGCCTCATCGAGCAGGCTCCTCGGCCGGCCGAGGAGGTCCTTGCCATCCAGCAGGGCGGCACATACTGCCGGTTCCACAAGAACTCCTCGCACAACACCGACGACTGCATCACGCTGAAGAAAGCCATCGAGCGTCACATTCGTTAGGGAGAACTCTCCCAATTTGTTAAAGGTGGCCCACGCAAAAACACATGGGTAAACACCGGCAAACAAGGGGGCGAACCCTCTGCGAAGAAGCGGGAGATTGGTAGGCTCAGCGACGACGAGGACTTCGAAGAGCCCCCGCCAAAGAAGAATCACATTCACCTCATTGTGGGTGGGAACACTGGGGGGGACTCCGCCACCCAGAGAAAGAAATGGGCCCAATCCCTCTACATTGGGGAGGTGTCCCACGTTCCCCCCCAGCCGAAGAAGAAGCGAACGGAAGCGATCACCTTCACCGACAAGGATTTGCCTCCGGGTACGGAATCACACAGGGACGCCCTCGTCATTCGGTGTGAGATCGGTGACTCCATCATCCACCGCACTTACATTGATACGGGGAGCTCCGTCAACGTGATGTACCTGGATACCTTCCGACAGCTGAAGCTGGACAGAGCTCTGCTGAGGCCGATCAAGACACCGTTATCCGGCTTCACCGGGGACTCTATCGACGCCAAGGGCACGATAGTCCTTCCCGTGGAGGTCGGTGACGGCCCCCACCGCTCCAGGATTGTCATGGAGTTCATGGTGGTCAACCTCCAGTGCGCCCACAACCTGATCTTGGGGCGGCCAGCGCTGGAGGACTTGGAGGCCATCATCTCCATGAAGCACTTGTGCCTGAAGTTCCCCACCAGTGACGGCATCGGCTACGCCAGAGGAAACCAGAGGATAGCCAGAGCATGCTACCTCAAGCTAACAAGGCCGGCCGAAAGGGAAGGACAGAGGATAGACACCATCACGGCAACCGTTGCCAAGGACGAGGAGAGGCCGCATGCCGAACCGGCCGAGGAGGTCGAGGAAATCCCTCTGAATACCTCCCGGCCGGAGCGGGTCCTCAGAATCGGGAAGCAGCTCCCTCAGGACTAACGAGACGCCATCCTCCTCGTCCTGCGGTCATACGCCGTTGTCTTCGCGTGGGCCCGGACGACATGTCAGGCATCAGCCGCCAGGTGATTACTCACCGGCTGACCGTCGATCCGGCCTCCACGCCCGTCAAGCAGAAGTGGCGATACTTATCCGCCGACAGACGGGACTTCATCAAAGGGGAGGTCGCCATGCTCCTCTCAATCAACCACATTAAAGAGGTGAAATACCCGACGTGGCTGGCCAACGTCGTCCTCGCCCAAAAACCGCCAACATTCAGAATGTGTGTTGATTACACTGACCTGAACAAGGCGTGCCCCATGGACCCGTTCCTTCTCCCCAACATTGATCAGCTGGTGGACGAGACGGCGGGGTGTGAGTTGATGTCGTTCCTTGACGCTTTCAGAGGGTACCACCAAATCTCCTTGCATGAAGATGACGCTGAGAAGACGGCATTCATGACCCCAGAGGGAATCTTTTGCTACCTCGTCATGGCCTTCGGACTCAAAAACTCCGGCGCCACCTATACTAGGATGGTGGCCAAGATCTTCAGAGCGGTCCTTGGCCGGACGATGGAGGCATACGTCGACGACATGATCGTCAAGAGCAGGCAGGCCTCCTCCCACTCCGACGACCTCCGGGAAATCTTTGAAATCATGAAGGAGTTCAGGCTCCGCCTCAACCGTAAGAAGTGCGCCTTCGGCGTCCAAGGCGGCAAGTTCCTCGGCTACATGGTCAGCCGGAGAGGCATCGAGATAAACCCGGAGAAGACACAGACTATCATCAACATGGAGCCGCCCCGCAATGTCAAGGAAGTACAGCGACTGACGGGGCGCCTGGCGGCCCTGAACCGTTTTCTCTCCAGGTCAGCTGAAAGGGCACTCCCTTTCTTCCAGATCATGCGGAAAGCCAACGGCTTCAAGTGGACGACGGAGTGCCAGGAAGCGTTCGAAGAGTTGAAGAGGTACCTATCGTCCCCGCCCGTGCTCTCCAAGCCCAAGGCCGGTGAAACCCTCTTCTTGTACTTAGGGGTGAGCACGTCGGCCATCAGCTCCGTGCTCATCCGTGAGGATGAAGGGGTGCAGAAGGCCATCTTCTACATCAGCAAGACGCTCAGGGAGGCCGAGCTCAGGTACTCCCCCATTGAGAAGACGGTGCTAGCCATCGTCCACACGGTGAAGAAGGTGGGGAACTACTTCCAAGCCCACGCCGTCCATGTGCTAACCCAGCAGCCTCTCGGCGCACTCATGAGGAGCCCCACCAGCTCCTCAAGGATGGTGAAATGGACGATCTTCCTCAGCCAGTTTCAAATTGAGATCAAGCCAATGCCATCTATCAAAGGGAAAGCCTTGGCCGACTTCGTCACTGAATGCACAGCAAGGGAGACGGCCGTTGCCAACCCCGGGCCGGAGTCGGACGATACATGGATCCTATTCACTGACGGCTCGTCGGCCTCGAAATCATGCGGTGGCGTCGTCGTCCTCATATCCCCTGAAGGATTCAGAGCTTACTATGCCATCCGCTTCAACTTCAGGGTATCCAACAACGAAGCCGAGTATGAGGCCCTCTTCAGCGGCCTCAGACTCGCCGCCGGCCTCAGAGCCCGACATATCAAAATCAGGTGCGACTCCAAGCTGGTAGTGGGTCAGGTTGAGGGCACGTACGAAGCAAAGGAGGGCCGGATGAAGTAGTACAAACAAGCAGCGGAGGAGCTGCTGAAGGCGTTCGAAACCCACGAGATCACACAGATCCCAAGGGCCGAGAACGCCGAGGCCGACATCCTCTCCAAACTCAGCTCGGACACCCCGGAACACATCTCCCAGCTAGCCAAGATCGAGGAGTTGAGCATGTCCAGCATCCATGTGATATGCACTAATTAGTAGTGCATAAATGTATATTTTTATGATTGATTTGTGTATATTATTTACCGTTTTATTTAGTTTGTAAACATTTGTGTGATTTTAGTTGTAATCGTATTTTAATTCTCATTTATAAGTTGTAAAGTATAGTTAGGATTTGTGGTGTTGGAAAGGAAGACTTTGAAGAGAAGAAAACAAGAAATTTGACTGCCCAGGAGTGAAACCCGACCGGGTAGAAACCCTCACCCGGTCGGGTATGATTTAACAGACGAAATTGCCAAGAAAGTCACTGG